GAGCCTTTTCTTTTGTTTCAGGTTGCTGGAAGCATCTATTCTGCCTGTGCTCCTCCAGTTTACACTAAGCAAAGCAGCGTGATGGTCAGATTTTCACCCACACATCGATTGGCGCCGTCTGTGGGAAACGAAGGTTAAGAATGAGATGCGCCAGGCAACGACAGCAGAAAAGTAATTGAGTGGTGAAGATCGCTCTCCACTCGGAGTGGCAGACAATTGACCTTGATCATTGATAAGGAGACACTACCACAATACAGAAACCGTGATCGCCATAGTCTGAACAATATAGATGGGGTAAACGTCATCTCGGACACAGGCGACAACCGTCTCTCCAAGAGAACAGAGAGCCAAGGAACAGGTGAGACTTAAATGCAGATTCCCTCCTATCAGGTTTATTGAGTAGGAGGCCATACCTAAAGGCGGCGAAGGATATGTGTGTCTTGAGTGAATGTGTGTAACAGACTTGATACATTAATGCTTATTTGTGTCCTACTTTCCGCGCAGCTGCAAGTTTGTGCTCAGCACCTTCACGTCAGTCGTTCGAAGACTATTCCATGCTTCTTATGCAGAATAATTGTATCATCTGCCGCATTGCTCTGACGCGCCCATGAGGTTTACCACACTAGCCATTGTGCTTCTTTCTCTCCTCTTCGTCTTGTCTGGAAGCACAGCTAATCTTTTATCGCTTCCCTTACGCATCCCGTTCTGTTCTGGGGTTATCTGAAACACTAGATTTGCCTAATCAAGAATGTGGACAATTCAGTCTTTGTCACGCTTTATTCCTGTGTCTCCCCCATCTCCAGGTGCCACCAAAGTTCGAAAGCTGAAGCTAATCTTGCCTGCGTTGCAGAGCTTTCTTGCCCGCAGTTCCCACCTGGCAAGCCCCTTCCATTTCGTTCTCGAGGATGATATCTTAAAGTCCCTTAAAGAAAGCGAGCTCGCAGAAATCGGGTTGATATCCTTACTAGGGTCATGTCCTCACCCATATGCTCAAGCGGAAGAATCCCATATCTCGTTCTCTTTGGCTCTCCCAGTGTCCCCAGTACTGCCCTACCCAGTGTGCTCAGGCGATACAAGATTACTCACTACGAGCATCCCATATCCCAAATCCCTAGTACCTATAAAGTAGAGCGGACTATGGTTTCATACTGAGTACCCGTAATTCATGGCCCAATGAGCATGTAGGGAATTTTATCGAAGCGTGTCTCGAGTGTGATTTCACCTAGAGTGCCACAGGCTAAAGAATTCTGCGGACTGGCAGAAATGATGTTGGTATTCGCGATGAACAAAATCGAAGGGAAGAGGCAGACTCTCGAAGCGAAAGGCATGAAAACAGGCATTATTATGGAAAAGTGAAGAATCTACTTATGCAATCAACTTTCGAAGAAATAGAAGAATATAAAGATCCGAACACAGAAATTTATTGAGCGATTGGCGGAAAAATTTTCATGACTTGTTTTTATTCATTCCTTTATTTTTATGTAGCCTTTTGATCACATATCTGTACCCGAGGACGTTAGGAGAGGGTTACTTAGATGTAATGAAACCTAATATTGGCTCATAGGGCACAAAGAGGTTCGCACTGTACTTAAACCCTGTAGTTTGACTCTGTCTAACTTCCTTTTCAAGTCCGTCTCTAAAAGGACTAATTCATAACTTTGAAGCACTACATTTCATTCTTGTGTCAAAATAGATAATGACCACACTTATTATTATTATTATTATTATTATTATTATTATTATTATTATTATTATTAAACAATATATAGATAGACACACACAAACAAAATAGTTGAGTGATAGTAGCTGAATAGAATAGCATAGGTCTTAGAGCTTCAACAAATCAATAACATGTTCTTCATCTTCTCTCCTCTCTCTCTCTCTCTCTCTTTCTTTCTTTTCCCATTTTCAACTTCTTTTTTTTGTGTTTTTTCGAAAGAAGCAATTCAGAACTGTTACGTAACGGTGCGTACAAGCCATTACGGCACCGTTACGACCGCTATAGCAACCGCTACGGCCAGCACACCTATGAATCTCAATCACACTACAAAAGTGACCGTAACGGGTGGCGGTAATTACCACAACCGTTACGTAACGGCATTACGTAACGATTGCGGCCGCTTTTTAAAACCTTGATCCCCATCGTTGACATATTCCTGTGATTGGTCATATTCTGGCAGTTGCTCTATGTCCTCTTCGATTGCAATATGGAGGGTATTCTTCCTTGGACATTGATAAGCCATGTGCCCAGACTCACCACACTTAAAACAAGTAGTGCTTTTATCCCTCCCACTTGGCTTCACAGTCACAGTACCTTGATTTCTATGATCAACAACACTAGAAGATGAGGCTTTGGATATGTTTGGTCGATTTAGTGGCTGCAAAGGTGCTGTTTTTGTGCTTTTATTTGCATCAGTGAACCTTCTAAATGTTATCTCCCCTGCTTGAGACCCAAATTTCTTAGTAATTGAGTAACTCAAGTATTCTTCTATATCAGGTGTCACTTAGAATGCATGCTCCATACTATATAAGGGTTCACGAAGCAATTCTCGTTGTATGTCAGTCCTCAAACCAGACTTAAATCGAGCAAGGGTGTGACGTGGATATTCCAGAATTTGACTTCTAGTCTTAAGTTCATCAAATCTTTGCATATATACTACTACTGACATGCTGCCCCGTTTTAGAGTAACAAAGTTGGTCACACAACTTTTCGTGATAATTCAACGGCATGTATTTTTCTCGAAGCTTGGCTTTCATCTCTTGCCATGTGCCTATTGGTGGTTGCCCCATTCTTCTGATATCTCCTTCCACACCAGTCCACCATACTTTTGCCAATCTCACAAGTTTCATCTTAGCAAATCTCACTCTTCGTTCATCCGTCATATCATACCATTCAAAATACTCCTCAATGGATGCAAGCCAATCTGAGAACACTGTAGGATCAACCTTGCCTTCAAAATCTAGAACCTCCATCTTAATCACACTGGTCTGCTTCTTGTTCACTTTGATTCTCACCATTCTCGCCATGATTATCAATTTCAGAGTTTTCTCCTTATTCTTCGGTTGTTGTAGCGCCATTAGCTTGAGTTGTTTGGCCCTCCAAAGCACTAATACAAAGATTGCAATGATCAAGTTGCTCCAGAATTTTTATAAGGATCTCATCACATTGATTTTCAATCAATCTTCCTCTAAAAGGTTTCCCCGATCGTGTAGACAAGTTTGAATCCTTGCTCTGATATCAAAATTGATGCAAGACAGCACTGTAAGAGCTGTTCTGGGCGGTGAAAGTACCCGTGAACATTGTTTAGGCTGTTTAAAGTGTAGAAAATAAAAGAGGGAAAGAAAGAGAAGAAGAAGATAAGTCTAGGAATCACTCCTACAACTCCTTAGGCATCACACTTAGGGTTTGATTGCATCACACAATCCATAAAGAAGCTTTAAAAGCTCTAAATTCTCTGAAATATCAAGTCTATATAATTAAAAGCATTACATGGCTTTATATAGAACTAAGAGACTTCCTAAACCAATTAGAACCAAAAAAGGAAACTAGTATAATAGTTTGGACTTCCAAAACTAATTTAAGACTAAATAAGGAACATAAATAAAATCTAATAACTTGACCCACAAGACGACCCATGAGCAATCCGTATAACCTATGTCTACAAATTATGAAATTACCGAAATACCCTAAACTAAAATAATAATAATAAAACATGACTCATAAGCCTAAAACATAACTAGGCACGGTCCCAAATAAGGTGTTCATCATCCAATGCATGCCAAATCAAAGCTTAGGCCTTAGAGGCATCTCTTCCTCGTCTCTTGTACACCTTAAGAGGCTGCTGCCACTTGCCTCCATGCTTTGTTTTTGCAGTAGAAAGAGTCTCTCCAGCTACTTTTGTAAGTTGGGGTGGCCGAATACAAAAGGAGGAATGTTCTTACGTCTTACATGGCATACATGGATCCACATTCCAGGACTCCAGGAGATGTACATTAACACACAGCGCTTAAATTCCTCCAGAGTCAACCTCAAATCGAATTGTTCACCTTCCTGAGCATTAGTGCTTGTTTTCCGCCACAGACCCATGAAATAACAATAATGAAACGGTCTGGATTTATCAGAAAATTCACCAGGGTGTGGGTGGCACTGAAGCATGCTTTTTGGGTCCCTCTCAATCTGAATTAATTGAATGCCAACATGAGCATAGAGCTTCAAGAAAATTTTAGTGCTGATGACAAAATAAGAAAAGAGAAAGATGGTGTCACCTTCAGAGTAAGCTGGCGAATCCGAGACCCAACCCAGCCTTTCCATTTCCTCAAGTCATCATCATTCTTAGCTGCTATATATCTATCTGCAAATAATTTCCGTATACTTCAAAAAATGGGAAAGGCTCAAACAGGGTCATCCATCCAGCCTTGTTCTTCTCCATCGACTGCAAGAATACATAAAATTATAGAAAAAAAATTACATAGCACAAATAAATAATAATCAGTCACAAAGAGAGAGAGAACAGTTATAGAGCTAGCTCACAGCAGAATGAAAAGAGTTTCAAAGCACTAAGTTGAGTAGTCAAAATCTCAATTGACATCAATCATGGCCTCAAAAGGGAATAACACTTTCAGAAGAAGACTTGGGTCAAATGTGGAAGTGAACAAAACTAAGATTCTTAACCCAATGAGGATAGCAGTTAACTTCAAGGCCGTGAATAATATGTTTCGTCCCATGACAAAACCCTTTCCAAAATGGAGAAACCCCAGCAACAGTAGATGCTCAAATGTTTTCCATACCACTAGTTCTAATGATTGTTGATGAAATTTTTCATCAATATACATGTTTAGTGTTATTTATATCTGTTAATGTATAATGTAATGTATAATGTATATAGTATAATATATTATAGGACAAAGAAAGCATAGGATTCTCTTCTTCTTTTGGTTGTAAAGACCAAACACCACTCACACACTTTCATTATTATGTCTTCTCCTTTCGGTGCTTTCTCTATAAATCAGCATCACTCTTGTAACCAACAGATATAGAAATTACAACATTCATTCAGATATCTTACATATCTCACATGGTATCAGAGCACAGGTGTTTTGCCTAGTCTCTTCTTCCGCTGCACTACATTTTTTTTCTTCTTCGCAGATTGTTGTGTCTCTCGTCTGCATCACATTTTGACAGATTGTTGCATATCTCGACCTTATCTGCCTTCCATATTGGACCACACCAGTACCTTCGTCTCCTCACGACGAATCCAACGCCACCAAATTCATCACCAGCCGACGTTCCACGCGCCTCCACGCGCCGCCAGAACTTAAGGCCACGCGCCTCCTTGTTCTCAGACGCGCTCTACGCACCTCTTACACTGTCCCGTGCTACTGTGTGCCGCGGCCTCCTCTGCTAACGTGAGCCGCGTGTTTCTGACGTCAGCCGACGTCAGCCCTAGTTGCTTTCGTGCGCCACCTGCTCTCCTCTGCTATTGTGCGCCGCGCACTTCTCTGCTAACGTGCGCCGCGCCTGTGACATCATCACTGTCGCCCGTGACATCATCCTGTTTGATCGGATTTGTTGACCAGACCACTCCACTCACTTTGACAAGCCAATTTAGTGCCTTTCTGGTCCTATTTTTTGGTCAGTTCACTCCTTTCCCACTGATTTCGACCCTCTGAATTCACTGGTACCCTCGGATTTTTTAAATTCTACCTCGAAAGTACAATTTTGCCCTCATCGATCGCCTCGACTCCTCTAACCACGGGACTAACTATATCTTATGGGCACAAGCTATGTCTGGGTTTCTCAAAGGAAAGAAACTTTGGCGCATCATCACTGGGGATGTGTGCAAACCCATCCAAGCAACCACCGAATCCGCTGCCACCACGGACTCCGCTGCCAAATATGTCGACCGTCTGGAGGATTGTGATAGTAAAAACTATCAGATCATTACCTGGTTTCGCAATACTTCTATTACATCTATCAGCCTTCAGTTTGGTCGGTTCCAACTTGACTCTGCTTCCTCTCCCGCCAAGGACATCTGGGATTTTTTACAAGAACGCTATCAGACTACTGGCCTTGCTCACCAATATCAGCTTCTGAGTCACCTTCACCGTATGCGCCAAGAACCAACTCAGACCATTAATGACTTCTTGTCCCAAATGTATTATGTTTGGGATCAACTCGCTCTTTCTGAACCTCCATGGGATTGTACTAAGGATGCTACCTTGTTTACTACTTACCGTGACCAACATCGCTTGGTTCAGTTTCTCATGGCTCTCACTCCCCGATAAAGGAGTAAGTGTAACAAGCCCCGCGGGGGACCTCGCTACAGCTCAGACTCGATTTGTAGTCATGGTTCTAAGTCTGAACCAAAGAGTTCCAAATCCGGCAAATCGTTTTAAGAAAACAGATTTTTGAAAGAAGTGCCAAACATTGGACTGCTTTGCCAGATACAGAGTCGCCACCTAAATATTTATATTTGGGAAATTTAGGAAACCCTGACTCGTGCCAAAAGGCCACGTGTCCGTCATCACCAAAGTTGCCTCGGCTCGGGACTTGGGTACGATTGGGAAGGTCACTTCGTGAGCACCCCCGCTCGCCCGATCAAAGATCGGCCTCTACTAACCATGATATCTATTTTTGAAAACATTGTGAGTTCTTATTCCGGTTATTAGCCTAGGTTACTATGTGATGCGGCACAATACAAGTATAGACTGGATCGCCTGAATTGGAACAAAACATTTCATGTTCGCTTTTTTGAAAATGGTTTGCTACCCGCAGGTAGGCTTGAAACATTTGATGATTTATTCCAATTTAAGTAACCCAACCTTCACCCACAGGCATTCAGGCAGATATATCATGTAATACATAGCCTCATGGTATAGCATTGCTATCATGGCAGTCACTCACATGTATGCAAGGATGCTTAAAGCATAAAGCTTACCGAGTACTCCAAGCCAAAACAGAAACTTCATTAGAAATCATGCATGAATCCTAAGTATACAGAATGCCTAATGCAAACACTGCAAAGAATGCAAAACTATAGCAGGCTCGGCTATTCTAAACATGGCATATGAGATGCTACAACTTTATGTTATTCCAATTTAGATTTGAGAAAATACAATGCAGTTAGTATGATGCGCCGAAGCCCGGTGCATGCAAAACAAATGAATGATGCAAACATGCTGTCATACTGTATACTAATTGAAATAGCCCTAATCTAACCATCATAGAACGGATAAATAAAAGGGAGAAAGGACGTGGGGTGGAAGACATACAACACACACACGCACACCTTATTACAATTATGCCCTCGCTCGAAGGGTCCGAATAAATATTACAGTCCCAAATAAAAGAATATTACAGTCCAATAATATACCAATTCCTAATTAAATAATCAAAATTAACTAAGAAAGCTGCTTAAAACTGGCGTGAAGCCCGGGATTGCCTTGCTTCTGATGGATGATGTATGTTTGGGCTGCCTTGCGCGTAAATCCACCGGATGCCCCAATTAGGCCTCTTTTACATTATCCTTGGAAAACGCGCCAAGTCCCCGAAAAATTGCTGATTCTTCATTTGCTGCAACAGAGAGCAGGAAAGGGGCATAGCAATGTATTTTCACAGATATATGCATGTTTCGATCCTCGTGCCACCAATCACGCATACCAAGGCATGATGCCGAGGAGTCTGAAATGCACAATTCAAATATAGGATTGAATGCACACGAAAAACACAGCTAAAACCTTACTTCCATCATGGATGATTCGGAGTGTCGGTGACTGGGAATTGAGATACATTCCGTCACTCGGAGTACGAAATGCACCTCGTTTCCCGTGCCGCGGCTAACTCTTACCGAACACGATTGCAATATGCATGACATGCATGGAATGCAAACAGATACAGGCTAACATGCACAATGCTGTGTGAAATGAGAGTGCCTTGAAGTGCGTGCACACGGGCACGCAAACTGAGGAAATGACAGAATGCGATCTAAGATACAACCTAGCATGACACTTGCTATGAAAATGAGATGCCTCGAAAGCGTGCATTACGGGCACGTAAACCAGGCGATGGCAACGCAATGCAATATGGCTAAAATGGCATGGAAAATGTAACATGGACTTATACTAAGGTGAGAGAGCCTCAGCCACACTCACATAAGAAGCCGATGGATGAAAGAAGTGCCTCGAAATGCGTGCACACGGGCACGCAAACGAGGCGATGACATACGCAATGCAATGGCATGGAAATGGCATGTAGAATGCACATGGAATTTATTTGCACTGAAATATGGGGGAAAACAGCCCGAAATGAGGCGGAAATCACACCGATGCATGGAATTTCTCCGAAATGCAAAATTAGGCACCGAGAATGGCCTATAGCTATACCAAACATGCATAATTGGCATGTGGAATGAAAAGACAGAAGCAAGGCAGCCCCAAAATAAGCATTTTACTAGTACAAAACATGGCCAAAACAGCAACCAAGATAGGGCAAAACTAGCATGCAAGAAATGGCGCCTAAAATGGATAAGAAGCAAACTCATAGCTGATGTCCTCGAACAGGTTAGGGCCCTTCAACAAAGTTGAAGAGAGGGCCCAAATATGATGTTTTCCAGAACTGTAAAAACCCCAAAAACAAACACAGGTATGGCTGCACTCCCATGCAAGAAAAAGGGCCAAAAGGTGGCCAAAGAGGCAAGTCGTATATGCAAAGCCCAAACTGAAAATTTCCCTTCTACAACATTGAAGAGGGACCAAAAATATGACTATTGAAGAACTGTAAAAACTCCAAAACAGTATACAAACATGCTAGAAAATGCAATGCAAAATGAGGCTCAAAAGTGGCTATAACGCAAAGTATACAAAATATTTCCACAAACGGCCAAAGACCCTGAATGAAACATGAAGAAATGGGCCAAAATAAGACTATTTTTAGAACTGTAAAATGGCAAAAACAAAAGCATGATAGGCTAACAAAACTGCAAGAATGGGACCAAAAAGAGAGATATAACATGAAGTGGCATATGGAGCGTCCCAAACCATGAAAGGCCCTAAATGAAACATGAAGAATGGACCAAAATGAGACTATTTTCAGTGCTGTAAAATGGCCAAAAACCAAAGCACAATAGGCTGCCAAAGCATGCAAATTGGGACCAAAAAGGGAGTATAAAGGCAAGTACAACATGGAAGTCCCAAAAAGTGTTTGAGCCCTTCTTCAATGTTGAAGAGGGGCTCAAATAAGCCTTTATCAGTTTACAACATGCTCCAAAACAAATCATACACAGCTAAAATATCATGCAAGAAAATGACATTTTAGAGGGATATGAAGCAAGTGCAAGATGGAGGGCTCAAACAGGATTGGGCCCTTAATGAGACATGAAAATGAGCTCAAAATAAGGCACTTTCAGTTATGGCCGGAGTCAAAGCAAAAGCATAGATGGCTAAGAAATGTTGCAAAGAAAGCTCAAAAAGAGGGGAATGGCAACTCACCCTTGGAGACAGTCTTTTTGTTGCTTGTTGGACCAAGTTGCAGCACCTTTAGCCTTTGAGAGGCCCTCCTTGTTGCTGAGAATGGAGTGGTGATGGTGGTTGCTTGGTGGTGATGAAGGAATGAAGTTATAGAACTTGGATGTTTTTGAGGAAATGAGAGAGATAGAGGGAGGTTTGAATGTATTATGCTTGAAGGCAATTTCTCTAACCCCTAATACAAGGGTTGGCCTTTGGTTATATGGACCAAAAAGAGGGGCA